GTCTTACATATATAAAGAGAAACTATCCCCTTATTAAAAATTTAACACTGAAGACAAAAGGTCTGCTAGTTATTTAAATAATTTTAAATTGAAATTGGTAACCTCATCCATTATATCAAAATCATTCCAAATTTTCAACATTTTATAGAATTTTTCCCAACGATTTAAAACATATTCAAGAGTATGAATTTTAAGCAAATTTTTCCCTTCACTAAATTTTATTTTTACAATGAGTTCCAATAATGTTTTATTACGTTCTGCATCCATAAAATATTCAATACAAGACATTAATTGTTTGTAATTTTTGGAATACTTTTTCAATGTTGTCTCAGTATTGCCATAATAATATTGTTCATATTTCAATTGCGGATCAGAAAAATAAATATGAGGAAAATCTTAAAAATAATTAAATTTAGATATACAAACTAAATTTCATTAACCTTCTTTGTTAAATTTTCCTTGTTTTATAATCTTGTTGATTTTTTCAATTATATCCTTTTCTGCATCCATAAAAAAATCTTAAAAATAATTAAATTTAGATATACAAACTAAATTACATTAAAAGAGAAACTATCAGCTGAAATAAACTAAATTACATTAAAAGAGAAACTATCAGCTGAAATATTTAAAGTATTTGATGATTTTCTATACATAAATATTATGCTTTATTTAGATTTTTGTAGTTTCAGATCTCTTTGATGTTTTGTGTGCATAAGAAGGGGGATTGAAATTTATACTCGTTTTATTAAATAATTTTAATTGCTCACCATTAGTCATCAAACCCGATTTTATCTTTAGGTTATGACTAGAAGACGCTCCAATATTTGTCTGAAGAAATCTATCTTTGTAAGAACCTGGATTAATAGACAACGAAGCACTCTTAGAATGCCAATGTTTATCATTTTTCATTGTAAAATCCCGATTTTTCATTTTTCCATATTCAGTAAAACTTCTATCGCCTATAGCTACAGATTTAGATTTATTTAATAGCATTGAATAATTAATGCTTATAAAATTTGTTAATAAAAATATAAAAAAATAAATAATTTTTTGCATTTTTTTCTATGTTTAGCTAAAATTATTTCTAAAATGTCGAGTAATAAATAAAGAAATATTAAATAATTTTTTGCTAAATGTCGGTAAATCTTATAATGTCTAAAAAATTATTTATTGAGAAATTGTTTTTATTTTGAAATATTTAAAAAATAAAAAGGAAAATGCCGAAAAGTGCAAGCTAGCAAATTTATTTATTTAATAAAATTATTTGCAAAGAAAGTTAGTTTTAATTTGAATTTTATACGAATAAGAGAGGCTCGGATTTGCTCAAAATTAACAATATTAACCATTTGGGAACAGAAAACAACAAAAATTGTTATTATTATCAACAAAAAATTGTTATTATTTTCCTAAATTCATAAATGTAAATAGTGGAAAAATTGTGAGGATCATTATATAAAAAATAGAAGATTTACAAACGGCACTCGGGAGCGAGATAGAAATTGCCATTGTAAAAACCACTTAAAGTAATTCAATAAATGAAGTTAAATTAAAATTATTGGACATTGTTTTTTTAATATTATTGATATACATAAATTTAAATATTTAATTTAAATTTTAGCAACAGGTTTTGAAATTATTAACAAATAGACAAATTGTTTTGTAGCTAAAATTAACGTGGCGCGAACTTTGCGGACCCGAATTTTGCGGACCCGAACTTTGCGGACCCGAAATTTGCGGAACGAAAGTTGCGGACCCGAAGGTTGCGGACACGAAGTTTGCGGACCTGATCTTTGCGGAACCAAGATTTAAGGACCGACACTTGAGTAAAAAGGAAAAATTTAAAAATTTATTTTTCGAAAATTCCGGCAGAGTTTACCATGATCAGTAGGGCTCGGATTTATATTGAAATAAAATCGCAAAATATGGCCATAAAATATTGAAATAAGTGGGCAAAATATTGACAAAAAATGCCAAAAATTAGTGAAATATTGAAATAAATTTTCGTTTAGTCACTAGAAAACCCCCCAAAAAAGTTGAAATTTAACAAAAAAAACGAATCATGTTTATAAAATTTCACATTAGCTTTATAACCCGACGAATTGAGTTACTTTACGCTCTTGGACATTTTGCGATTGAAAAAATGAGGTTGGGACATTTAGTGGGTTTTGCTCAATGTCCATTTTTGAGGTTTTGCTTAACAAATTTTGAGGTTTTGCAAAGTTTTAGGTTACGAAGAATGTTACTAAGAATGTCTCGGGAATAATTAGTGGGAAAACAACGGTATTGTAGTGAATAATAGGCCATAATATCGAAAATTCTGAGAATTTTGGAAGACGAAGAAGCCAAATTTTTCCATTTTTAGCGCCGCAGGCAAAATTTTTGAGATTTTTGGTTGTCAGGCGGCCAGATTTCTTCACTTTTTTCCTAAAATTTATAAAAAATCCCTAAATTTTGGTAAAAATATGCAAAAATATTGAAATAATTTGAAAAATGTGCCAAATATTGAAATAATGGGGAAATTGGCAAAATATTGAAATATATTGAAATTTAACTTCGTTCAAAATCATAATATCAAAAAACTAATTGCATATTTGTGCTTCTCTCGCCATAATATATTCAGGGAAAAAAAATATATTTCAATACAAATCCGAGCCCTAATGATCAGTACCGGATTCAAGATTTTTTCTTGATTTTTCAAAATTTTTATCAATTTTTTATCTTAAGATTATTTCATAATTTAAATAACCGAGAAAATTCCTTAAAAAATCATTTATATGGCCATTTCATAAGGTCATGATGCCTCAATTTATTTTAATTAACGCCGCAGGCTAAAATTTTTGAAATTTCCGAGGTTCAGTAGACTCTATTGTCGGTCCTCAAATTTTTGGTCCGCAAATCTCAGATCCGCAAAATTCGGGTCCGCATAGTTCGGGTCCGCAAAATTCGGGTCCGCAAAGTTCGGGTCCGCAAATTTCGGGTCCGCAAATTAAAATCCGCAAATTTCGGCGCGCCAAAATTAATTTTCCGGTCATAATAATTTCATGTGAATATGTATTAAGAAATTGCACTTTTTTATTTAAAGTCGCTTTATGTCTAGGATTTTATCCTGCAGTCTGAGTCGAGATCCTGACAACTCGGTATCAACGTAATCAAATCAAAAAATACAACGTAAAACTAGAGAAAGTCTTTAAAAAATTCAAAACCTTATGCATTGTCTTTGAATTTTTATATTAGGATTATCCGAAAGCCACTGAAATTCTCTATAAATCGCATTGATTTTATTTTACAGAAAAAAAGTTAGCGAAATACAGGTTGTTAAATTTTCAGAACATACAAAAATGACCCTTATGGAAACAGCCTGCATCTCTCCTACATATCTTATTGACAATTTCAAGGTCTCTCCGATAAGCTCAAAATAAAAAATCAAATCACCCATAAGGAATCGAAAATATTTTTTAAAGAAACTTAACATAGATTTTGAGGCGTTTACCTATATGTATATGTTAGAGATAAAGATTGAGATAAATAAGAGCGGATAGAAATTCGCAATACTGGATTGAAGATTTATTCAAAATTAACAATTAATTAGTTGAAAACAGCTATTGAGTATTTATCTTCTATATGTTTTACTAATAAGAATTGATCCATCTTATCTCTATATACCCCGATTAAACAATAAAAATCTCAAATATTTATCACACCGATTTTATAAAAACATTGAAAATTAAATTTTTTAAAGACGTAAAAATGATAAAATTAAATGTACGAACAAACAAAAATGGAAAATTATATAATTAATCAGCAAAAATTATAAACAAACTTAAGCAAAAATATTAAATTATTAATCTCATAAATATCGCAATTTTTCAGCCTTATTATTTTTTAATTTTAAAATAAATAATTAATTTGAATTATTTATTTTATTAAAAATTTAAAAAATGGAAATTTTTATAAAATTATTGTTTTATAATAAATTTTTGAAAAGAATTTAAAAGATATTTTGAATCTTTTTTGCCTCCTATGCAATTTATTTATCAGTAATTTTTAAATATATTTTTGTCTTTCTCTTTATTGTAGTAAACCATCTCTAACCATCCCTCAAACTTACTCAAAGCAATTGGGATGCTTGTCTGAATTCTATCAACAAAATTTTTCAAAATATTTGTTTCACTGCTGCTATGGATTTCTAATTGGTTTATTTGTTCATGTGTTTCAATTCCTATCCACCAGTGTTGGATAATATGTCCTCTGCAAAATAATATTTTTAATAAATAACAATTTATTTTGTTATTTTATTTAAATTTTCACACAGATCCTGAAATTTCAATCAAGACGGCTCTGACCTAGAGGTTCTCATCTGAGCCAATACCCGCCCTTTAATTTTATATCCTCTAACGCTCAGTACCAGCCATAAAGTTCGCACTATAAAATAAACTTAAAATAATTTTTAATAATTGTTACCCATATTTTTGTTTTATTTTATTTGGCAACCAATTTTCTTTACCAAAAGCATGGGCATATTTAATCAAATTATCATCCTCTATAGAGAATACCAATTCTAAACGAATTCGACTCTCTACATAATTACAATAATTTACATTTTCCTTCAAATTATTATGTTTTGAAATGCACAAAATTAACAAATAATGTTTATACTATAAAAAAATATTTAAAAATATTTTTTGTTTAATTTCTGACCTTATCTAAGAAATTAACTCCATTTAGCCACTTCTTCCAATTGTTAATTGAGCTCGTTTTTTCGTACGTATTTTTTGCATTTATTAGCATATTATTACCTAAATTATTCTATAAAGATCGAGAGGAATACGTTTAAATTATTAGACTTATCCAGTTAACGTATAATATAAATCGCTCCTAAAATCTCGACCCGTGATAACTTAGATACTGAAAGTTTCTATCACGGCGAGTCCAACCTCTATTTTCCCAAATTACTCTTTATTTTTCGTCTATAATTTTTCGGGGTCCGTTTAAACTTTTTATTATTCATCACGAGAAATTTTACCAATTTTCACCTCCTTTTGAATTATCTGTCTAGTTGAATAATTAACATTAAAAGAACAATTTTGTTTTGGATAACCAGGTGTTAAAACAACCATTATCAGATTTGCATGATTTTCTAATCTTTTCATTTCCTTCTCTGATATCCCAAACTTTTTACCGAGATATAATCCTTTTCTTTTATTAAGTTCTTCCTCAGAACTCCAGCTGAGCGGTTTATTTGATAATTCATCTAAACTTACAATATTTTGCCAATCCCTAAAATTAATAAGCGATATTTAATTAACCTAAATAAATTATCTAACCATTCCATATATGTTTGAAAAAATTTTTGCAACAAATAAAGCAAGGATGAATCGAAATATAGCAATAATACTTTAATAACTAGCACATTCAATGTTGCGCCATTTAGAAATCCAAATTGACCATCATAGATGAAATGATCTGAAATACAAATAAATGATAGAGCGTTTTTTATTTTGATAGGGCGTATTTTTGGTTTATTTTTAAATAAATTTCTAAAACTTGTTTCAAAAAATGAGTACATTCAGATTTTTCTAGAAATATTTGAATTGTAATTTTTGTGTGAATTTGGAATTTAAGAAATTCATTCTTAATGACCGGGCTCCCGGAGATTTGGGGAGTGGACATTTGGGGAGTGGACAATTGGGGAGTGGAAATTTGGGGAGTGAGCGGACATTTGGGGAGTGGACAATTGGGGAGTAGACATTTGGGTAGTAAGTATTAAAAAAAATTTAAAAATAGATTTTTTGGCCAATAAAAATAATTTATACACTAGTGAAGGTGTTTTTCTGGAGTTATAAAGGGTAAAATTCAATTCCCCCACTTTTTTCCTTGCTCAACGTATTAAAAAGTGGTCAGTCAATCTTAGTCGAGCTTCGTCGAATGTCAAAGCTCCCACTGTATCGTTTTTAGCGCCGCAGGCAAAACGTTTAAGAATATTTGAAGGCTAAGAAGCTAGATTTCTTCCTTTTTCATCACCGCATGCGAAAATTTTGAGAATTTTGAGAGGTTAGTTAAACGGCGTTTAGAGTGACAGTATCCCGTTTATGCCGTTTATCTAAGACTATACCATTCCGTTTAATTTTACCAAAAAACCCATTTACCATATACCGATTATCGTTTAGCTAAACGGTTTTGTGCTACCCTAATTTCTAGTGAAACCATGACCCCCGACCGAAAAGTCAATCCCGACTCCGAACCCCGACATGCCTTTACCAGCAAACCCCGATCACCGACATACCAGCCCCCGAAGGGAGGTTGCTATCCTACTTTTATGGGTGTACTCAACCGGCTACAGACATCAAAATATCTTTAAAATCTTTGAAACTCCACAAAAACACCTTCACTAGTGTATAAATTATTTTTATTGGCCAAAAAATCTATTTTTAAATTTTTTTTAATACTTACTACCCAAATGTCTACTCCCCAATTGTCCACTCCCCAAATGTCCGCTCACTCCCCAAATTTCCACTCCCCAATTGTCCACTCCCCAAGTGTCCACTCCCCAAATTTCCGGACACGAATGACCGAGATGTTCAAGGTTAACCATGGGTGTTCACTGTCGGTTAACCGAACCGAAAATCGAGTGTCATGTTAATAACCGACAGTAATAACTCTAATTTTAACACACACCCGATGTGGTTAAAATCATAGTCTTAAATCTTTTCTTATTTTTTTTCTGAATTTCAATATTTTATTATCAGTTCGATAATATACATTTATTATTTAACTTATCCAGAAAATTAACAAACTAAACTTACTTTTAGCCCATTTCTTAATCGTCTCGCAAATAATTAAAATTTATTCACATTACCATTCATTTCTATAAATTTTAGCATAATATTATTTGAATTATACGAAGCAAGTGAATATATTTCGCTTTCAATTCCAGATAAATCTTCGGGTTTGTACAATTTTTTTGATTTTTGTCTCTTATGTTCTATTATTTCCTCAAATTCTTGATTATTTAATCCATTTATAGGAAAAGTATTTTTTAATTTTTCTGATTGAATTTCATCAATTATTATAAAGGAAATATCAAAATTAATTCCATTTTTATTAAATTTTATTATTTTAATTCGAGTATGCATAATTTTGTGAAGCTTTTTGATTGAATAATTCTAAATTTTATAATCATATTTTATTTGTAGGGTTATTTATTCTGGATCGAACTGAAGAAATGAAAATTTTTCGGTTCCAGATATCCAGTAATTTTTCAAGAATCGACAACCGACCTAAAATATTGGATCTCCATGACAAGGAATTTCAAATTAAAATTCCAGTATTTTTCGAAATAATGCCCTATATAGCTATATCTTTATATTATCTCTAAAGCGTTACAAAAATCCATAAAGGTGAAAACAAAAAAATTCCCTCTAAAGTGTGACTCTGAGGTTTGGAAATTTAAATTTTTTTTCGTACTGATACTTGAGTAATTTTTTCCCATATTCTCGGACACAGTTACGAATAAGCATTTTGGTACGTGTTTCCAAACACTTGCGACTCTCGTAAGGAGGGTTTTCAGGAAACATATTAATCTCTAAAAAATACTTTACATTGCATAAATAACAATAAAGTGAATTGTCATTGCATTTTATATTTAAAACAAAAGGTTGGCATAAATCAAAATCTGGATTTCCGTAAAAATTATTCACTCCATTTATTTTACAATTATCATTTTTCTTTTTATGCAATACAACAATAGCATCAACATCCGAGTCAATAGTTTCTGTTTTTAATTTTCGAGAGCCGCTCAATAAAAATTCAATCAGATGACAATTTTTAGATTTAGCCCATTTTGAAATAATTGAGACGATTTTGACTATTTCTTGAGAAGATCTATCTTTAACGATTGATGAATCAATAATTTCTGTCGATCGTTCATTAAGCTTTAAATGAATAATTAATCGAAAATCTCGAAGAAATTATCAGGCAGTGTCTCAGAAAAACTTAAATCTGTTTTCCGAATAAGGCTTTGAAATTTTGAAGATATACGTAAGAAATTGGTGTTTAGCATTTCGAATTAACTTAAATATGTAAAAACCAAAATGTAATCACTTTTTTTCAAAGAAAATTATAATTTTGGAAATTATAATTTCTATAAAAATAATTTCTTTAAAAATAAAAATAGCAAGAATATTGCTATTTTTAGATTTTAAAATAATTTTTTATTAATAGTATATACAATATTTCTAGCAAATTCTTTTTGAGCATAAAAATAAGGCAATTCATCAAAAATTGGAAAATCTATTAAATTATTTTGAGTTGATGCTAAATTTTTAGAGAATATTTTTAGAATTTTTTTGAAATTAATTAACTAACTTATTAACATTTTCTGCATTTTTTTAATTTCATAATTATTTAAATAATCAGTAAATTCGTTAACATTTGTATTATTTAGCAATGAAAATAATATTCTTTTTTGTTTCTTTTGCTTCATTAAAATCCATTGCCGATTAGAATTTAAATTTGCAAGCCTTTAAAAAATTATTTATAGCTGAAATGGTGTTTTTAATTTACCCCCCTCGCCCCCCCCCCCCTTTGAATTTTTTTTCAACTGCGGTGATGGGGAACAGGTGCTCTGGAGTGAGACCTCCCCCCGTTCCCCTGTTCCCCGGGGTGGGGTTGAACCCTAATATTAACATTCATTTTTAGTAAAATTTCAACATTTTTAAAATTTCTTTAAAGTTTATTTATGATAATTACCTTTGCTTATGCAACTTCATTTTAACTGCCTTAATTTCTTCATCTATTAATTTTTGATTGGTTTCGTTTTGTAGATCAATCCAGTCATCCATAATCATTGATAATTCTTTTAACAATGAGTGGAATCTATTTTCCAGCTTCGTTAATTTTTCCATGTCATTTACAATGGAATTACCGTTGTAAATGGTTTCGTTAAATTCGTTTTCCAATTTTAAGACCAACTTCAATAAAGAACAATTACTAACATTCTGGTTGTCGGATTTTACTTTAATAAATAATTTTTATTTTTGATTAGTAATAATTTTCCTGCTTTAATTATGTGTCGGATTCTATAGCTATAGTTGGCGCATCGGATCTGAATCCGAATATTTGGGGATTTCCATGATCCGCCAACCTTTCTTTTAAAAAATAAGAAGAGTTGGTCTCTGACCAAGTAAGGAGAATTTTATGAGAAGCGGGGTATGGCTTAATGCCGGAAGAAAAAATACGAAGTGTTGGTCTCTGACCATGTAAGGAGAATTTTAAGGGAAGCGGGGTATGGCCTAATGCTGAAGACCGGGAATCGGTGTCCGCATTAGGCCATACCAGCCCTAAATTAAGCGATCGAAGCATTCCGAAAATTGGAAGGAATTAATTTCGAAAGTTCTATAAAGCAAGATCCTACTATTTTCTTTTATCTATTTCACCGCTAGAATAGAGGAATAAAAGCTTTAGTGTAAATTTTTACTAAATAAATTGGAGAAAAGAACATTTTCTGCTGATATTAAATCAGTACCTTAGAATTCTCCGAAAGTCAAATTAACATTTTTATCCTGGCAGTTATTCGTCATTCTGATTTTTTGAAGGTGCTTAAAACGTTTATTAATTTCATAAACAATAACTCCAATGTCTAGGGATGGAATAAGCCTTCTAGGATCTTCATTGCTTGAAATAAATCTCATGTATCTTTCATCTAATACATCCTCCTCTAAATAGTTAATTGGAGTAAAAGGAGAAAATTTTGATGAATTAACGATTTTATTTGAAGAAACAAGAGCCTTGTCATCTTTTTCAGCATCTTTAAATTTATCTTCCTTTTCGCTCTTGCTTTCTTCATTTCCCTCCTTCAATTTACTATTTTCACTCAATTCATTTCTCGAATCCTTTTTATCAAGAATTGCCTTAAAACTAATTGCTGGATTCACAAAAAGTTTTTTATCTTCAATTTGCTTTGAGTTGCTTATTTTTTCCAAATCCTCATTTATTTTTATTTTATTGCCAATTATACTTTCTTTGTTCAAAATACTCTTCTCTTTCATTTCGGCATCATAATATTCTTTATAGTTCATTTTCTTATTATTATTAAATGAAAAAGATGTTTTATCCACAATATCCTTTCCTTTCAATTTGTTAAGTCGTTTTAATTTTTCTTCCTCTTCTATCTTCTTCTTCTCTTCCCTTCTCAATTTCTTTTCATCGTTTTTATTCAGCACCCAACCTCCACTATGCCCATCATTTTCAACGTTATCTTCGTCAAGGTTTTTGTAAAATTCAGAATTTTCACTTATTTCATTATTTATATGCACATTTTTGTCATTGTCATAATCCTCATCTTCAAGATTTTGCCTAGTCTTTTCAATTTTATTTGCAGATGCGGATTCCACTCTCTTTTTGTTTTTATTTTGCTTTTTCTTTTTTCGTTTTTTGCTTTTTTTATTTGTAGTGCTAATGTATAATTTATTATCATTATCACTTATACCCATTTCATTCATAATCTCGTCTACATCCTTTAATTCTTCTTAAAAATTCTTTAAATTAAAATTTTTAAAAATATTTGTAACCTTTTTTATGTTCGTTTTCACTCTCAGATTCTACATTAAGTTTTTCTTGGTACCATAAATTGTTCCGATGTACAATTAGATCAACTCTTACCTGAAGAAAACTATTAGCCCCAAATATTTTTTCTATTCTTGATTTTAATTGGTGTTCCTTATCATCTTTTCTTTAAATAAAAAAAATTAATTTTTTATGTAGTTATTGTTTTTTAAATATTTTTCTAAATTGAATAGGATTTTATAGTTAAATAGATTTTATCAATTGTATTTATGTGCGTAGAAGTTTTTTCTAATCTCAGTTTATAGAATTATGAGAAAATAAACAGATAAAGAGTTTAGCAAAAGTTTAGCCACCGGGCAGAATTTGAACCTGCAACCAGGGTGTCCCTTTTGCCTTATTTACAGGGCATTTGCCCTATTTTTGACAATTTCGCCCTATTTTTTCCCTATTTTCTCATTTGCCATATTTTTGCCCTATTTTTATCATCTAGTAAAATTTTAAAAATTCTTCGGATTTTGTAAAAAAAATGGTAAAAATGAAGGATTTCTGACTTACTGGCCTCCAAAATTCTCAAAATTTTCGCCTGCGGCGCTGAAAATTGGAAGAATTCTTCGATTATGGTACGGGGATTTGGGGATTTGGTCGTGAATCGATGGTACGTTTTAGGGGATATCATGTTTGAATTATCTGTGATATTTGCCTTCTTAAGGTTAATTCAATTAACGGTATTCTGGGATTAAAGAGGATATCCCCAATAAAATAGATTAGTCACAAGTTGATATTTAATGATAAAGAAATTTTTAATTGAAAATTTAGTTTAAAATATTGAAAAATATGCATAATAGAGCTTTCTTTTTAAAATTTTAAGTATTCTTAAGTGTTTAAAACAATGCCCTATTTTTGCCCTATTTTTGACCAATTTCGCCCTATTTTTGCCATATTTTTGAGTAGCTTCGCCCTATTTTGGTGTTTTGGAAAGGGACACCCTGCCTGCAACCTCCTCGAGTTATTGCTAGGCGCCTTCGCTACCACTGACTGAGCTACCGGAGCATCGACTAATGCTTTCTCTTTTATCATGTTTAGATCGTTTACCCCAGCCTAAACGTTATAAATGCCTAAACGTTATAAATGCTCTAGGGAATCATCCTCACATCAGTCTGATGTGAGGTAGTTTATGAGAATGTCGTATTTTTCACATATATGGGAACGATATAAAAATAACCTTGAAAAAACTGTGTAACAAAATTACTGCTCAACTCGCCAGTTTGAAGCAATTGAGAAAAAGTTATGTATCTTATCTCCTCTATCCAATCTGACAGATTTATACTATCGTCTACCGCATGCATTTTTGTGTCCAAATCATCATTGAAACTTTTCCATTTGTTCTTAAATTTTAGTTTGTTTTAAAATATTAATTAGTTTGAGGTACTCAAAATAATTAAATTAGAAAATAACAATGGGTAATTTATTCATCAGTAGATTCTTCTAAAAATTTTATCTTATAAAATGAGAAATAATAGATTTAAAAATCACATAATATCAATGCCGCAAAATATGTATAAAAAATACATCATGCGACATCCCTAATCATGTTTGCCTTCTACTAATTAGTTATATATTTCGTTTCGAGGCTCGGGATGTATACATGGTGCCGGTATTTTACCCAGACGTGTTTTACAATATTACAACTTAACCTCCAAATAATCCTTGAAGGAGCTTCCTTTCGCTTTTTTATTTTTTTCCACCAATTCTTTACCTTTTAATTCAGTAATCGAGCTAACAAAGCGTATAAAGAAATACGGAAAATTTGTGTTTTTAAATTCTAATTGTTCTATACTAACATCCTCATCAAATAATTGACAAAAATTCCTATCAAATTCATTTTGCATTTTATTCCAAATTTCTAAACACCAAATCCTCGATTTTTGAGTGTTTTTATTCCATTCTGATTTAGTAGTTAATATATTTTCAATATTTCGATGCCATAAAATTATATCAATAGCTAAATTATTTTTTGTAAATTCATTATCGTTTTCATTAAAGAAAATTTTATGATAGTGTTGTGCTAATTGCTTGTTATCCTCATAAACTGAAATTTAAATTATTAGATACTATTTTTCACATGAATTATTATATATCAGCAAAATTAGATAATAAATTTATATTTAAAAATATTTCATAGCAATAACGTAAATAAAAGTTTAAAAAATTAAGATTTAAAATCATTTTTTATTTTAATTTTTGTCTTGAAAATTGAGGATAGTTGTTAATTTTTTCAACACCCAAAAGATTTTGTCGATGTTGATCAACAATTATTATCAGCTTATTTTAACATAGTGCCAAAAATTTGCCGTTGAAAATAAATGATAAGAAAATTTCAATTTTGATTACATTTCGGATTAAACAAGAGTTCAAAATAACTTACTTCCTTTACATTCCATTTTAAGATGATTGTCCTCACAGGGATTCACGCAAAGGTCCGTAGCAATTATTTCAAGTAAATAAAGTAAAATAATTATGAAAAATAAAAGAAAATTAATTGAATTAGACATTAACAAAAAATTAAATTTAATTTGTATTAATAAAAGCAATGAATCTTTAAAAAAATTAAAATTTACGAAAAAATACTTTTCATACAAAAATGTTGGTTTCAAAAATCCTAAATATCGAAAACATACATAACAACTCTAGCATACAAAGTTAGTTATGTGGTTTTATTAATAATCAGTCTCGTCGAGCTTCCTTCACTAACCTGCCTATTGCCACAAAATAAATTGAAATTTCCTCACGTTAAAATTTGAAATATGCCCATTATAATCCCATAACCATTATATAGATTAATTATAGGTACTCAGTAACAACTTTATACATATTAGGTTAAAGGGAATTTTTAACATTAATTTATGGAGAAGAGCAGAAACAGAAATGTACAATTATTTCTTTATATTAAAATTACTTCATTTTTATTTCAATAAATTATAATAATAAATAATATTTATTTGTTTACTGCTTTTTATGTTGAATAAATGCTTATACATAATACATATTTGCACTTTAATACATTTTCAAAGGTGAATTACCGACTTAATTACGCAAATCTATACGTGTTTTATATATAGACATCAAAGCAATTAAAATGTCGGGATTTGCTTTTAAATTTTTTGTAAAGTGCATATGTAGCTATTTAGGGAATTCTTAAGTCTAGACAATTGAATTCGAGAATTTAAAAAATTGATTATAGTTTTTAATTTAACACTATATTGAAACATTTACACAATATAGAATTTAATAGCTGAAGCAAGATAACGAAATATTGAAACATTGTTATTACCGTATTTTCTCGATTAATTCCCCTGGGGAATTATTTTTTCAACCCTTCCTTGGCATGGGGAATTAATTGAGGGAGGGGAATTATTCGAGTTTTGGCATTTGAACGTGCAATAGGATATTTGGGGGTGGGGAATTATTGTTTCAACCCAACTCTAGCATGGGGAATTAATCGAGAGGGGGAATTATTCGAGGGAGGGGAATTAATCGAGAAAATACGGTATATTATTAAACTTAAATTATTTAAATAAATTATTTAACTTAAATTTTTAGCAGAATGTTTCGAAATTTTTAACTTAAATAGACAAATAAATTTGTAGCTAAATTTAATTTTCCGGTCATAATAATTTCATGTGAATTTTATGAAATTGCACTTTTTTATTTAAAGTCGATTAATGATTCTAATTTAGGACAGGCCGAAACTTGCGGACGAATTTCTCAAAACATAGCTCATTCGAAAGAGCTCGACGAGCTGAGTCGAATGACATCAAACTTGGACAAGCTTGGACAAAATTACGATAGAAAAACAAAAACCTAATCCTCTGGTCCGCAAAAGTCGGTCCGCAAGTTTCGCACTACCTAATATAGAGCTTCATGCAGAAGACTTTTATCCTGTATTTTTGCTTTCATCTTACAATGAAATTCAAAAAAGTGTATAATTCAACAAACTGCTTTACTTTAGAAATATTTATTATATTATTTAATCTTCAATATCTTGAGAATCTGAATATCCTGAGCTCTCTTGCGCATCTGGATTAGGATCGGACGATGTTTACGAGTTTCATATGTGATTATTTTGATAATTATTGTTTTTCCTATTTTTTGACCTGCCCTTTTATCAAATTGCATTAAATAAATGATGTATAATTAATGCTAGTTAACGAATATTTTGAATTTCTGAAGAAAAATTATCTCGACAGCCATGTATTCTAAAAAAATTAAATATTTAACGGAAAAACACAAGTCTCCAGAAAGTTTTATTTAATTGTTTTATATTATTATGTATTAACTTATATTTTTCTCTATGAAAAATTTTGAAATAATTTATTAAGGTAAGCCAAGGCCTCTCTTGGCATTCCCATCTCCACTCCTCCCTTGGCAGCTCTTACTTCTCATGCCCTCTCTCCTAAATAATATTGCCAGCTATCCTATCATTGCTTTTTAAGAGCAGTTTCGAAATTTCGATTTTGAAGTATTGTTACTTTCGATTTTCGTTTAGACCTTGTTGCTGTTGTTTAATTTAGAAATTTTTAAACATTTGACTTTGTGACGCTAAAAGGAGGTGTTACGTCCGGAGGTGTCCGAGATTTGACTGATGTTGACAAGCACAACAATAATAATTTATCCGGCGTAGAAATAAACAATGTGTAGGCGAAGGTTAGAGGGTTGGAACAGACGAAGGGAAATCAGGGACTAGCCGCGCTAGTATGATTCAACTAGACTGACGCTTTCACTGGCTTTTATACTATAGCGATACCACTACACAACACCTCCCCCCTTGAAAAAAAGGTTCGGCTTCACTTAAAGCCGAAGCTTTCAATTGTTGTGATAATATCACTATAGTCTTTTAGACTATTATACAATCTTTAAAGCCAGAGCGTCTGTCTCA